TAATTCGATCAACTAACAACTCCGATGATTCCTTTCAATAGAGATCGTAGTGGTAGTACTGCGTCCGCGATAAAATTGAGTTTCCAGTTACCTCTAAGGTCAATTAACGTCCAATCGACCCGGCGCAACTCGATTATTCCCTGCAAATCGCTTCTTTTAAAGTCCTTACGGCGATTCCTCTTTTACTCCCGTGAGAGAGTAGAGCAACCGTTAGTCTTTAGTTTAGATGTTACCACATTCAAATTGCACATGTATAATAAAATCAGCGTATTTTTAAAAGAATGTTAATATGCGAGAATATTAATATGCAAAAAGAAATATGTAACGATACTGTCCTACACAGCAAAAAAAATCTGTAGGATATACTGAAATTATCGCGGACATACGAAGTATATTTCAATATCCTTACAATATTGCCTGATATATATACTAATTAGGAATAGGATATACTAATGTCCGCATTTACGAAAACGTAGAGATATCGTATATATAGCGAAAGAGATCTGTAGGATATACTGTAATCATAAGATATTGAAATATATGAAATATATCTCAATATCTTTAGAATATAATTAGTATATATACTAATAAAGAAGAGAATATACCATTGACCACATGTAAGAAAACGTGGTGAAGCATTATTAGATGTTCCGGTTAGTTTTGAGGGTTCAATGTAGATGGCTATAGCTACAAATCTAGTGGAAACATTTTGAAAATGGGTATGTCATGTCAAAGCTAGGACTTCTCTACAAACAAATTGACACATGTCCTGCGCATTCGTAAACATAAACACATTGTTTAGTGCGACTAAACATGGAACGTGATAAAGAGCATTTTCGGCATCTATTACTTTACTGCTTTGATTTGAAGAAAACAGCCGAAGCTCATCGATTCATTTCAGAAATTTATTCTGACTCTGTTCTATCAGTTAAAACATGTGAGTATTGGTATCGAATTTAAAAATAATGATTTTGATTTGAAAGGCAAAGAATATTTAGGTTAATCCAAATGTTCGAAGATGCCGAATTGCAGACATTGTTGGATGAAAACTCAGCTCAAACACTTCAAGAATTAGCTACAACATTAAATGTTGGTAAATCAATCGTTTCTGATCGTTTACACGCAATGGGAAAGATTCAAAAAGAATGTTCCACACGAATTGTCTGAATTGGCTATTCAAAATCGTTTAACAATTTGCACTTCATTGCTTTCTCGTCACAAAAAGAAGCAATTTTTGTATCAAATTGTAACTGACAATGAAAAATGGATATACTATGATAATCCTAAGTGTAAAAGATCGTGGATAGATCCAGGTCAATTGTCGACATCGATTCCAAAACGCAATATCCATGGAAATAAGGTTTTGTTATGTATTTGGTGGGACATGTGAAGGGCATCGTGTATTATGAGCTGCTGAAACCGAATCAAACAGTCACTGCTGAGGTTTAACGACAATTAATCGATTTGAATCATGCTTTGAACCAAAAACGTCCAATAACAGCTCAACGAAAACGCAAAGTGATTTTGTTGCACGACAATGCATCGATCACACGTTGCAAAAGCAGTTGAAGATACGTTATCGGAATTTTGATAGGAAATCTTACCACACGCCGCGTATTCACCAGACTGTACTCCTTCATATTATTACTTATTTCGATTGATGCAGCACGCCCTTACTGACCAGCATTTCAAAACATGATACAATAAAGAAATAGCTTGATGAATGGATTGCTTCGAAAGACGAATATTTCTTTTACCGCGGAATCCAGTTATTGCCAGAAAAGTGGGAAAAAGTTGTAGCTAACAATGGGAAATATTTTGATTAAAATAATTTAATGTTTCTCTAAAATATACGTATTTCCTTTTTGCACCAAATCCCTCAAATCTAACCAGAACACCTAATACATGGTGAAAAATTGGGACACAGCTTTGAAAGGAAGTAACTAACTGAGGCTGTATTTCAAAATTTACTGTCCGTATTGAAAATCTATTGTTTACATCATAATACATTTTCAGTACTAGTAGTGGATTTCGCAACGCAGCTTAAGTCACGTAACCCGTGATTGCAGGTGCACGCGATATAAGGCCGATATTCATAGTCGGATAGTATATTTGTACTCCCCACAATATATTTTTATCTTGTGTAATTGTATTTGTATAATTTATTTTATGTATTATCACTACATCCCGATTATCTATTATAATTATCCCCAATATATCTTATAATGTCCCTGCGATATACACTCTTAGTTTTATTATACCGGCAATAATCACAGATATTTCATGCATAACGTAAAAATATATTTCATGACATTTTGCAATATCTCGGCGTTTTCTTAAGTGCGGACATTAGTATATCCTGGTAATATCCATCGAATATCTAGATATCTATCAGATATCTCTGAGACATTGCAATATCCTGAATGAGAAAATGTGTTGAGGAAATCTTAGATTTCTGTTGTTGTGTGAGATAGGATCCAAGATGAGTTTAATTTGGCAGCAGCAAGTGTCGTCGTTATCTATTTGTGTTTACCTATTTGTGTTTACCTATTTGTGTTTACCTATTTATGTTTACCTATTATCTATTTGGGTGTACCTGTTTACATGTTTACCTATTTACCTGTGGCAAAATTATATTGTATTGTCGCGTTCAAAAAAAGTCGAGAGCGATGAGTCACGCGAGTTGTGCGTATTCGTGAATAAATATACCGCGCGAGATATCGAGATGTTAAGATCCGACGTTCAAATTGGGCCAATAAGGAGCGGCCATAGCGGATCAAAAGATGACAAGATTAAGAATATAAGGCGCCGGAAAAGTATAGTGAGCGGAGCTCGCTCGGTTTTCTAATCTGTTTCGCAGAAAGTTGACAGTGTAACTCTACCCATATATA